ATATATGGCGAATTATAAAAATGTGACACTATAGTGACATGAATAACACTGGAAAATTAGCATTGATGTCACTGTTCAGATACGGCCTTTCCTTGAAGAGACACTGACCTATAACTTGACCCCGTTTGAATCATTTTGCATTGTTCAAATAACTATCAAGTAGTGTTTGATGCCTCCAAATTGATAACTATATTTTATACTGTTAAAAATTTTGCATTAATTTAATTTAATAAAGGATGGGAAAAGTAATAGTAACAATAATATTTTGTTCAGGCAGAGAAATCCAAATTCAACGATAGAAAATAGTATTTTGTTTCCCATCTTACAGATATCCTCCAAGTTTGGAGTTGATTATAATAGGTGTATATGAATGAGCAAGTAATAAGTTCTTATTATACTCCACCTATTTGGCCGTTAATGCTTGTCTGTGGCACTTTGAGGTTCCATACATCTTAATCTGTTGAAATACATGTATTGCATTGTACCAATGAACAACGAAAACCTCAAGGTCTGCGTTTTTACAGTTAAACCTCCCCCGTGGGGAGAAGTTGGATGTTCTCATATGCCAAGGCCGTTTTCATATTGCGCATTAATGTTGGACCAATTTGTAACGTAATTGAAGAGTTCCAAATGTCACGTATTATACATAATTTAGTGAAGTTCTGACGCGCGAGACGGGGATTTTTGTCTGTCATCTCGGAGGGTCTTTGATGTGTCCTTGCAGGTCGGTTTATCCTCGTCTATCTTCTCCCCGTCCTCTCCTACCGTTGCCTGTATTAGCATCCTCTCTTGAATATTGTCACGATCCTCCCCTGCCGAGCCTCCTTGATAACCAGCAGCAATCATCGGCAGTCGGGAGATAGGAGACCATCCCCGCAGAGCGACATCCGTGCTCCTCTTACTTTGAGTCATCCTTACTTGTAACCGAAAGCGAAACTCATTTTTTTTCTTGCTTAAGGTTAACACTGTCTTCCCGCTCGCGTATAACTGCACGCGTTCCCAGCAGAGATGCGCTTGGTTCGGCAGGCCTCAATGCCGTAACGTCCCTACAGATAATGTTCAGCCAGCGAAGTTGCATCAGCCATCCGCTCTAGTCGGAGTTATTTCCACGGCAGATAAATAGTGACAAATACCCTCTATCTAATGAGCACCCCACTCTAACTTCTGTCATCTTTTTCCCCGGTAATCGAATGGGGATAATATAATTTGTTATATTTTATGACAAGGGGGACTCTTCAGACTGTTTCTCGCCCGGCTGGTAGGCTCTCAACGCCCGGCAATCACGCAGCCCAGTGGGCCGCACTCATTTCGCTCCCTCGTACAATGTGCAATTATGGATCGGAATAACCTGCCATCGGCAATTCAGAAACTCGTAAAAGATTCTTTAAAAAAGAGGGTTGCCCTGGTTTAATGGGTACGAGTCAAGAGGGTCTTTGAGCGGCATAACAGATCAAAATCTCTGGGTCTTTGTCATGGATGAAGTAAGAATGATTAATATTGTATGCTTTAATATATGAGCCCTACTATTTAAGCCAGACGGAACTTGAATATGACATTGTCTTGAATTGAGATCTACACTGGGGAGAAAAGTGCTTATAACCATGGTTATTTATTGACGAATTCGACCTTGCACACCGTGTAAGCCCACGTGGTAAGGGCAGACAGCAAAGTGCCGGCAATATGGTGCAGATGTGTCGTCGAGGGCCAGCCATGTTTTGTGCAGTACCTAGCATCTTTCTACCACTTGCTGGGGAAAAAGATTACTTCACCCCGATATGTCTATGAACACTGAATAATTACACCATTAACCAGGCACTGATTTCACCAGATTGTCAGTCACGTCTGACATGAAACTCACAAGCGGACACAGTCGTGTACCTCTTACGATTTGTTTTGAAGTTGATTACCATATTGCTATGACGGGAATGGTAGTTAATACATGTACCAGTTTTATTGAGATCCACATACTCGGACATTTTATGGGGTAAACGCTGCTTTCTATTTATGGCAGTTTGTTCAAAGCTACCAAAAACAGTTTTCGACCTGTGGGAGATTACTGTTGACATAAACGTGATGAACGGGCTCTCCTGATAATCACTTTCCTTGCGTTGATGTTGGAAATCTTTTACATTTCTGTTTGCGCTACTTGACCCACTAACTGCCACTCGGACCGAGGGAGTCTGGTGCATTGGATTCCTGGAAGGTTACATTAACGGTCTACAGAAAGAGACTAAAAGCTCCAGTCTGTTTGTCTGACGTCTTTCGAACCAAATGACATGCATTTCAGACCCACTTCAATTCTCCGAAGAAATCCTTTCAAGCTTCGTCGTTCAAATTTGAAGTAATCCCCTCTTCTTGCGGACCTACTGCAGCAATTGCTATACCATACGCTTTCCCCCGTTTCTGCTCTTTCGTCTGATTCGAGTTTTTTTCCCGTTCCTAAAGCCCTAGGATTAGGATCTCGACAATTGCTTGTCAAGTGCGGGGATTGACCGCATGAAGTCTCTAGTCGATTCCCCTACCTCCATAATGCCCAGTGGCTTACGTTTGACATAGATGAAAACTGTGACGAACTGGAGAGTTTTGCAAGGTTTGTTTAGTTGACCTACAAAGAATGATATCCTCTTGGTATCCATCACAGAGACGTATGGTCTGATTACTAATTCGATAGTTGGAATGTAATTTCCCTCGTCCTTGCTTGCACGACGTCTGAGCGGCAGTGTGTCTGCATACGGTTGACAAATATGCATCAGGCAAATAATCTAAACGTGTTCCTTCATTGCGATGGTTTTGCACATTCAGCAAAACATAGTCCAAATCACAGGCAATCCTGAACAAATCCGGGTTTCCCACAGCTCTTAAAAAGTATTCAAGTTTTCTTAAAGTACTCGAATTGGATTTCTTTGATCGGCATTTCCAATTCACACATTCACAGGTTCGTGACTTTCTTCTGTGCAAAAAACTATCGGCATCTCTACGCGCCTTTTTATATGTTCCTTGTGCCATGTATTGTATGTTGATAACGTCCTCTGTGTACAAACGGCAATCTATTGAAATGTAGCGATGGTTCGTTAAATGCTAATATGTTTTTGTGTTTTGTTCGAATGGTTCGGGTTCATTTTTAACGTTTCTTTAGTTCGTGTCTTATCTATGTTGTATTGTCTTCTTTCTTATTGGCTCATTGAGTGGCCGAGATCATACTTTTCGCCCATTTCTGTCTGGCTTTCTTCAGTAATTTGTTATTGCGTTTCTATTCACGACTGTGAATGTAATTTATTTTGCGCTGTGTAGAGAAGCTTACGAACGAATACCAAGTAACTTGAACTCGAGGTGGGCGAGTAACATACCAAAGCCGTATATATATTTCAAATTCTTGACTATTGATCTGAAGTAACTATCTGAATGGTGCGGATGAGCTGCATCTGTCAGTGCCTCGAAACAGCATGTTTCTGCCGCTAACCGATACCACTACGGGTGCCCGCGGGTCACTGCCTTGACCCAAGCATTCCCTTAATCCAGTGCTACATAAGGTTCTCAGTCCGTCTTGTCATCCGCAGGCAGGTGCTAACAGAATGAAAGGAGAAACGGACCAGCTCTTTGCGCGGCAATCTGCCTGCCTAGAGTGTCAAATTAATAATTGCTTGTATATGAACGCTATCTGACTTCCCGAGTGGGGGATGAAAGATTTGGATGGTATGAGTGTCTGTGTTTATCATTATATTTAGCGAAGAGGCTATCTCGAAAGCAGGCAACATTTTGTGGTTGTTGAAAGAACAAGTACCTTATACCTGTTTAAACTCTTCTCAACTTCTCTTCCATGTGTTTTTCTCATATTGTGTGGCTTAACCGGGATTTTTGACCGGAGCAACCGGCATCGGGTATCAATCAGGGAGGGGGGCGGTGATGCACAAAGGGCACTTCCTCCGGACTCAAACCCCGAGGCAAGAGGGCAAGAGCATCTCGTAGATGTTTGGAACACCAATGCCATGTTGGAGAGCCCAGAGGAGGAAGTGGGATTCTCTTATTTTCAGATCCTTACCCTACCGCATACTTTCTAGACAAGTTGGTGCTATTGTTTCCTTCTTTCTTTCAGTTTTATCCAGTTTCGTTTCAACACTTTTTTCTGTTCTGTATATTTGACGGTATTGCTTGTTTAATGCCAGTGTTGCGTGCATAATGGTGGATACTGCGTGGCTATTTGCTCCAATGAAGATGCCGACCTGAGTGACTGAACTGAACATGAAAGTTCATTTTCATTTTCATGACAAGGCATCATTGTAGAACAGCGATATCCCAGATCACATGTAATAGCATTGACATTTCGCGAATCAGTTCAACAACAATCACTGCTCATGGGATTGGAGGGTGGGAGGGCGCTGTACCCTTATCACCGTCCACTCATTTCGATCAAATTAAATTTATCAGACCATAAACGTGCGACCGAATTACATATTATCGCATAAATCTCTGGGATTGGAAACGTACCGCGAAAAAGGCGGAACGTGCACGTTTTTTTCGAGATGTTTCCACGGTTGCTTAAATGAATGCACCGCCTGTTTGTCAGAAGGCCGACTCGGCATTGATTCCTAGAACACCGTGTGAAACTGTTTTTAACAAGTTTACATTTCTGAGATTTAAATCAAACAGCAGCTGTGTAAACTGTCACATTCCTTGCTGAAAGCCAGTTTAACATTTTCGAAAGTCACACTGCCGAACATTTGGTAATCATTTGTAAGAAATATCAACAGCGTTACATGTTCTCTCCAAGCAAAATAAACAAAGTGTGATTACGATTATTCAATTTTGTGGTTGTATAGGATCTAGTAGTTGTAAACATCCCAGGACGGATCGGTAGAAATACTCCGAGTGATATATCTTCCCTCGGTGGAGGTGATGAAAACGGCCGTTGGATGACTGGGGTCATAATGTGTTCGTTAGCGCTCTCGCTCGTCCGAGCTGTCGCCGCCACCGAAACCAATTGATTGTCTTGGTACGCGCCTGCGCCGTACCGTGCCGGTGCTCCGCACGCGTGCACACACAGAGAGCCGCAATACCTGGCGGCTCTGGCCAACTGTCAAATGATACGCTAAGATATACTAGCGGCCTTCTCCAGCTGTTTCTCCTAGGAGGACTTTCTTGTACTGGCCGGGGCAAAGGAGGCAGGCGAGCCGGGAATGCCGATGGACGCTTCTTTCTTTCGGTACTTGAGGTGCATCATCAGCGGTGCCGAGAACTCAAAAAACAAGAAACTCAGTTCTGAATTCCGTCGCGCAGTTTGGCACAGATGATCGCGGCATTTGTTTTCAGGTGGGCCAGCTGTCTTGCTGAACGAGATTTTAATGGTCATACCTTGAGCGTTTACAGCCCCCGCGTTTCGTCCTTATTAAGATCAATGCCAAGACACTGAAATTATGTGCCATTTGTGATGTAAATAAACACGAAGATTGTTATGTTTTAACACAGCTACCGGCGTGCGACCACATATTTTTTATATACACTGGGCGGTGAGCCGAACCAAGTGACTGACGTATGGCATGATCGTAAGCCACACGCTGTTGTTTTGCCCAAACAAAATCTCACTGTCCAACAACGCAACTACTCTAGATTAATTAGTAGAGGAGAGACTGACATCGGCATTGCCGGTTGAACTGCATCCACGATGGCGTGTGCGGTGGAGCCACGATGCGTGCGAAGGCTGCCGTGTTTGGTGCTGTGCGCATTTCTGTTGCTACATTTGCCCATTGGTGAGTATATGCGAGTTCGATAGTTTGATATAATATATGTTTGAATGTAACAGTGTAATTTATACAAAAATATTCTAACAAATAAGGCGATAGGTAAGTAGTTTGAAAGTGTTTACATGCAGTATTATTCAGGGATGGATATCAATGTTTGAACCACTGGCATTTGGCTTTGTTTATAGTACATTCATCTTAAACGTAGAGAATTATACTTCCGGCTTGTGATTGTGTGCGATACTGTTTGCATTAGTTGGCTTTTGTCTGTGGCCTCATCAGACGTTTAGGTCTGGGACTATCTTGTAACTTTACTTTAAGAGGTATGATTTCTGGTTCTGATCTAAACTCCAGCCTGAAGAATGGGACTCTTTAGTTTGGTTGAGATTTGATTTGCTGTAGCGTATCGACTGATGTCTTTTTGAGGCGGATCAATTCGCGATACTACAAGGCCACTTTGAGAAGAGACTATTTGGTTGCTGTGTTCACAGCATATACCCAGCAAGATATGGCACGGAGGGGTAACCCCCTTCCACATGTCCAATCCCTATACACACCCTAGGATGTTGTTACCTTTCACACCCCACCCCCGATGTCTGTGAAGAATTCCTGAGATTTCGATCAAACAACGACCAACACAAACGTGTGTGTGTGGGGGGGTGCTCTCCGTTCCATATCCTGCTTCATATGTCACAGCAGTATCGTTATCACTTCCAATTGAAGCTAAATGCCAACTTAAAAGTAATGATCGACTGACGCCCCTCTTTGGGTAATTGTCTCATATACAATCAGTCTCCGTCAGGGACTTCCCTCCGTCATGTTGTAAGAGGTGCAGAGTATACATGATAATTCGATGGGAGATCAACATCAGTACACTGTGTGGTATCATACCAGAAGACGTGTTAAATGGAGACCAAAAATCTCTGACCTAAAAAAGATCAACTAACACCGCATTAATGCATCTGCCATTAGGCATATGCATTAATTTGCACTAGGCCTACGCACGACAACGAATTTACTTAAATGAACATTCTGTAGAACTCGCCATTTCAGGATATCTCTTTAAATGTTAATAAGGAAAGATAGGCCTACACATAGGTTCTAGTACATCCACATGACTCTAGACGCATCGGTGTTCAGTGTCTCTCAGTCGGCGTCCTCTACGTTTGTGCATTCACAAGGGGTATTAATCCTTGACATTTTCCTTGCACTCGTAAGGTTATGTTAGAATGACGATTGGCTTCCAGGTCCGACGAACGCCACAATGTCTGTCTATAAGATATTTTAACAGTCGTACAGTTTCTCACACTGCTTGCTGGCTGAGCGCAGAACCGAAGGGGTGGGAGTTGGGGGTCGACCCACCCCCTTCTCTGACTCCACAAAAACAAATGAATGGGGAAAAACCTTTTTAATAGTAATAACAATAAGAAAGGTGACACCCTGCAACGGTTGCTGCGAGACTACTACGTGTATAAGGACAAGTGCGTAATAATGGGACTCAGAAATATCTGACGGGCCTGACCCTCCTCTCCCCGGAAAAATTAATGGATCGACCCCTTCTGGTAGAGACAAACACACAAATTTGTTTTGGTATGCTCGCTATAAATACACAAATTGTTCAGTTTACCATACACCATCTTCGAAGGCTTTTTCTTTTTACGATACCTCTGGCAGATAAACATTGTAGTTAGTCTCATAAGTGAAAAGGACATCTTTATGTGATCTGTTTGTTCGTTTTGTTTGAAGCCCAAATTTGTTTTTACTTAGCGAAGCTAAGAGAGTGTGCTCACAGGGACTTGAAAAGCTTATCGCTAGTTTGTTTTACATATCAAGGCTCAACATCTCGGAGAAAAACAACATTTTTGGAGGGGATTGATGACTGGTGGAAGTCATCGTTCAAGGGATTCTGGGAGACTGTGCAGAGAGTACCCACTCTTAAGGGTCAAACTCCCTTCATGCCACCAGTGACACTTTCCTGGGTCAAACAATTGATTCCGGAAGGTGTCATCGTGAAGTTTGACCCGCTCAGGATTAGAACACACAGGACCTGGCTTCTGACACGGGAATTTAAGAGAGCAATGCCAAGAATAATTTGCATTGATTTAATTTCAAATCACGGATATGATAATCATCGTAGCACTGAAAATGATAACGATCCGAGATCTGAAGAAAAAAGTGCAGATGTTATTTACTTTTTTGGGTATAATTGTAAGTAGTTTGTTATTATGCTCAGCTACAAGGCCTAAAGGGTGAATTTATTCTTCATAATACAGACTACATAATTATAGTACCTGTATTTTCCCAAATGTATTCAGTGCATGAATGATTTTTATTACAATTTTGTCTTCCAAGGGGTTTTAATATTAAATTCAAGATTTATGAATGGATTACTTTGTGCCAATTAGTTAGCATTTGAATGATGCGAATTATCATGACAAAGAGCAGCAGCCAAGACAAATCAGAGGTATTTGTTTAGATCATGTGATTTCATTTGCAACCTGTTACACAGAATTAATCACTGTTACATAACAGTTTGTTCCTTCTACCTGACAATCCTTCGCAGCTTAAAAAATAAATTCGTTTGTAACGAGCACCGTGTTTAAACGGCTACTCACGATTTAATGCGGCGCGGAGACGGCATGTGTGTGGCGAATGCGATCGGGTTTGTTTTGTGCGGAAGCCCCCCTGGATGCAAAATGTAAATACCAATAACACATGCCCTAGGGTAAACACACTCCCGTGATCTTATCAAACAGCTTAATTGAATGAGAATATTGAATGTGGAGTTTCTCTCTTTTTTAACAGGCTGGGTGTTCATATGCAATTGCACTCGCCGGAATATTGGTTTTTCAACCCCGAGACGCCTAAGGAAGTTTGTGGAGGGTCAAAATTACATTTTTTAATGTATCTGATGGCGTCGCGGTGGACTTAAGTTCATCTAAGACGCTTTCGTTCTGTGTTGACCAAAGCATGAAGAATAATCCTTGCATTCAAATCGTCCCCTTTCCATGGCTTCGCTTTGCATTCTTATTTTAAGGACAAATTTTACATTTTGCCCACAGATTGGTCATATATGCTGCAAGTCGTGCAGAACTGTGCAGAAACTAAGATTCAGAGATATGCACGTTGCAATTGTGAAGTAACCGAAGGCGGCAGAATTAATGTCCAGAGCTTGATTTTAATAAGATGATGAATTCCTGGGACTCCATAGCATTTGAAATATGATTTGTTTTTTTGCTTTTGCTGATTAAGTGGAAAAACACTCAAAGTCCCGATTTCTCCTAAATGCGTCCGGTCAGTTGAGGGCGGTATTCATTCCGGCGAGTTTAGGATTCTTTAGAAGAGTATTATTATTTCGTCATGTCGGTGCTATTTCATTGCCAAACTACAGCATGACAGATGATTATTGTTAATTGATGTCGTTGTCAAGACGTCTCTTTATTGCAAATCTCCCTCCATTATCTCTACCGTGCCTTCTTTCAAGGGATCATAGTGCCCTATACGCTTGGAGCACCGCAGAAATACCTCGAGTCATTCGTTCGAATTTATGGAGACAGTATCTTGTCACAATTTCTTTCGATTCGACTCGAACCAAGTCCCAACGGATGACTCACTAGACTCCACTCGAGTCGCTGCAAGCATATGACTCAACATTGATTATGTATGCTTATTTGAAGGCATTCACCCATTCTTTTTTGTCAGTCTTTCGTGGCTGAAACGTGATGCAAATTGGCTGCCGCATCTTATGGTCCACGTTCACGGGGAAAAGTGAACTTGCTTGCACCCCGCCACGGGCCTGTAGCCGTGACCGCTTCTGATTTCTACTGATGAATTCACCTCCCCCCCCATCCCCTCCTTTAATTTCACGAGTTTCATTTAACTTAATTAGCTGGATATTCGCAACTTAAAAAAAAATATCCAATTTCATCAAAGTGGCGTCTGTGGTATCGGCGAAATACGATGGCGTTTAAAAACCGCAGAGTCGTAGACTTGTTGAAGTCCTCTCTTGCGTTGTCTGTCAATCGACTGCAGGTTCGAAACTTGGAGGGCGCCAACTGTAAAGATCCAGAGCTTTGACCTCACGCCTTTAATTGACTTTCCTTTGCGTCTGTCACTCAGTCATGTGAAAACTTACCCCGGTCTTCACCCAGGCAATTAGAATTACCATCGTCCAAATCTGTACAGGTGTGTTTCTAGGGTAATCGATCGAGACCTTCCGGGAAAATGGACTTTGTTGAGAGCGCATTTCAAGACGAAACAAAAAAGGACTTTTGGATGGGCAATTATGAAAATTGAAATATCACGTATAGTCTACAAACACAAAGAGAACAATCGAGTGCAGCTAAGGCCAATACGGTAGATTCACAATAGTGCGCCTCTAAGAGTTTGCAACAAGTTGACAATTACAATGCGTGAAATCTGTCGACTCAGTGCGCGTTTGGAAAGGGTCCACAGATTGTGCGCAATGTGATTGGTCAACGCGTTGCAGACTCTCGGAGGCGCACTATTGTGAATCGACCATTTTAAATTTGGCTGGATTGTATTTATTGTGCATGCGTTTGCAAAATCTTTTTAGTAATTCTCCTGTAGGGCATACCATGCTTGTTTGCTGGGGAAACAATATTGACTTCAATATTTTGGACTATACCAACTTGATGCTAAGACTTGCTTTGAAACGATATCAGTACTGACGAGGTATTTTATTTGAATAGAGGACCAGCAAGAACCACAATATAACAGCGTGCATTGAGGAGGGCGATGTGGATCTTGGAATCGATCCAGTCCGGCAGTACATTGAAACTGCATGCCCTCAACGGCAGAGGGCACATAGTGCGCATCATCGTCAGTCAGTTTTTCTCTCATGACTAATTTAGGCGCTCGAACCCGTCCATAGGCATAGAAGACAATTTTTTTTCAATTCCCCTTCACCAAAATGCGCCAAATGAGAGCTGGCGTGATGAACCCTGAAAGGTATGTACGGGGCCGTGACACTGACAGCACTGTATCGA